ATACACAGATCTGCAGAGCAAACATTATCGCAGCATTAATTTAACTGCTAACCTCAGTAAACATAAATGAAAACCCTCACTCGGCATTTTTATTTATTAATAACTTTATTCATGTTTGACCTTGAATTTTTATTTTCTAATGAGATATAAAAATATTCAATGACCTCTGACTAGAGCACTAACTGCATTTCATGTGTGCTGAATGGCATGGCTAAAATTGGCTGCAGAGACTAAAACTGTGGTTGTTAAAGCTAAAAAAGACGCAGAACACGAGCTAAAAATGAGCTAAACACTAGTTAAACACGTCGAAATATTAGCTAAAAGCGAAATAAGCAAAAGGCTAGCTAAAAGTAGCAAAAAGCTAGCTAGAGTCTACTAAAGTCTAACAAAGCTAGAAGTAGCAAATGGCTAGCTAGAAGCAACACAAACAACACAAGGTCAGCTAAAACCTAAAAGTAGTAAAAGCCTAGCTAAAAGATAAGAGTACCAAAAAAAGCTATAGAAGCCAAAAGTAGCTAAAAAGATTAGCTTAAAACTTAATATGCAAAATGCTAACTAAAAACAACAAGATGCTAGCTAGAAGATACAAGTGGAAAAGGATTAACTAAAGCTAAAAAATACCTAAAGGCTAGCTAGATGTGGCACAGTGCTAGCTAGAAGCTAAACACAGCATAAGGTCAGCTAAACTAAAAGGAGCAAAATATGTATCTCATGCTCAAAGTATAAGGTGAAAGCAGCAGAGGCCAGGTAAACTAAAAGTAGCAAATGGCTAGCTAGAGTCTACTAAAGTCTAACAAAGCTAGAAGTAGCAAATGGCTAGCTAGAAGCAACACAAACAACACAAGGTAAGCTAAAACTTAAAAGTAGTAAAAGCCTAGCTAAAAGATAAGAGTAGCAAAAAGCTATAGAAGCCAAAAGTAGCTAAAAAGACCTCATGCTCAAAGTATAAGGTGAAAGCAGCAGAGGCCAGGTAAACTAAAAGTAGCAAATGGCTAGCTAGAGTCTACTAAAGTCTAACAAAGCTAGAAGTAGCAAATGGCTAGCTAGAAGCAACACAAACAACACAAGGTAAGCTAAAACTTAAAAGTAGTAAAAGCCTAGCTAAAAGATAAGAGTAGCAAAAAGCTATAGAAGCCAAAAGTAGCTAAAAAGACCTCATGCTCAAAGTATAAGGTGAAAGCAGCAGAGGCCAGGTAAACTAAAAGTAGTAAAGGGCTAGCTAGAAGCTAAAAGTAGCAAAAGGCTATCTCAAGCTAGCTAAAAGTAGCATAAGGTTAGATAAAAGTAGCAAAAGATAGCTAAAAACAAAGGTAATATAAGAAGACAAAAATAAAGTATGCTGATGCAGATTTTAAAAAGAAAAACATTTTTGAAGAATGTATTACGATCTAAATGTATTTATTTGTAAATCGAGTTAACTAATTTGAAAAGTACAAGTTCCAAAATCCACAAASGCAGCACTTATCCTGAATGGTTTGATATATGAATGACTAAAATAGTACAAAATATGCAGAAACAGTTGTACTGTATTCCCCAGTAATAAAAGTAAAAAAGAAAATTCATGGCTTCAACGATGACGCTATAATTTAAGTGACCGCGAGCGAATTGATGTGATTAGTGAAATATTAGTTATGCTGCAGCCTGTWCTCTCTCTGCACATAACTCTGCAGTCATACAGGTGACACCTACAGCTCTGCAGGTATTCCCTCTCAGTGAATACAAACAGCCTCGTCCTCACCTGCAAGAATAAACAGACTGTGACAAAATGCAAAATGCATCTCAGATGATCAAATGTCTGCACGGTTGTCTGCTTTCTGATTGTTTTACTGTGACACTTGCCTCAAACTTGTTTCATTTGTCCTCTGTACGAACAAACAAAGACTATTTGCACAGCGAGTTGCGTCATGTTTGCTCCAAGTCATGTGCAGAATGTGTCAAGAGCAGCACATGCCAAAGACAAACAGATATTCCTCAAAACAAACATTATTGTATACATGTGGATTTGGTAACCTCTCTGYGAGGGGTGCATATGTGATCAGATACCTGTACTTAACAAAGAGCATCTCCTTATCTGCAATCAGATCTGTGGCTTCGTTTACAGTGACGGTGCTGAGCAGCTGCGAGGTGGCAGCTGTCAGGCTTTGTGCACACACAGAGCAGGCTATAAATTATTGAGACTCCAGGTTAAAGATTTCTCCCAGGCCTGAGGTCGTGCCTTCTCCTGCGTGCGAACCATCTATCATCTCTGTCGTCCCACCTGGATGCCGTGTCTTCTCTGTGCAGCAGCACAGGCAGCTTGTCAGCCCTCCCCTTCATATGGCTCACAATGTAGGAGCACCTAATGTGCGAGCAGAAAATCTGCTTACTCACCACGCTTTGGGCTGACAACTGCAAGGAGCTGCAGCAGAGCACAGACACACGTCAGTGCACATGGAGTCCACACACACTCTTCTGCTAYGTGCACGTTGTAATATGTAGGTCATGATAATCGCAGCAACGTTYATTTTAGAGTTAATGACCAAAAACTTGATGTAAACAAAAGAAAATAAAGCATTTAGRAATGAARGTTTTGTGGTGCAACATACATCACATTCACTTCCTGATTACAACAAAGCTCTGCTTGTGAAGATGTATCTGTTTTTGTAAGCAAAATGCAAATTAAGGCAAATTTATTTCCTAGTTCAGATACAGAGGCCATGTCACGTTGATTCAAACATTCCTGGTTTGAGCTACGAATAGACAACAGACCATTTTCAGTAGAACAGTCTACTTTTGCAAAAYAGAACTAAGCTGATCAGTCTATTTTTAAAACTTGTTTTTTCACTGAATTTTCCCTCTTGGAGAAACCCCTGCTTTATTTGTTTAGTGTGATTTTTCATACGGAAAAACACATCACTTAATAATGTTGAAAATGTTCCAAATTCACAAAATAAACCAGTCTGGGACATATGATAATTAACTTTCTATTTTCAAAATGTTTTCACATGTCCAGAAAAAAATCTGAAATTAAAGTTTTTTTCTGTTGTGGTTGGCTCTGTTTGTACAGAACATTTTATTTATTTATTCAATTGGTAAGTATTGTGTTTAGCTATTTCTATTACATTGTTTCATATAGTTTTGCTTTATGAGTCAGTTTGTTTTATTTTTATTTTTACATTGCCTAGCATTTTGATTAAAAAAAGGGTTTTTATGCGTTCTACCAAAACAAAATTTGTCTCGACTTGACTGGGTATAAATAATGCGACAGAAGAGAAAAGCGTTGAATTTACAGATGCCGGAACCAATAGTCGACGGACCACTACGGACTTTGTTTTACGACGCACAGGAGGCGGGACTTTCTGCTGATTGACTGTCGCTGAACAAATGAGATGTCGGGAAATACTAGCGAGTTAAAAAAAGAAGAAGGAAAAAATAAGAAACCATGCGGAGTCTAACAGGAAAGGTTAAATAGCTATCAGTTTACAATCCGCTAAAGATAATTTATAACAGTTTCATACGACGAGAGGCGGTCTGTATTTATCTGCTAACATTAGCCTACGTTCCAAGTTCTCACAAACTATCAGACAGAGGAAAAAACAGATGACAGGTTATAACCTAGACCGGCTTTTTCTGAAATGATGCTTCCACTTCCATCTGTTTATCGTGGAATATTCAGAACTGCGATTCGCAAACTTAAGTCAAGGTTGGTCCGTATTTCAAGTTGAGATAAATCGACTTAACTTTGGTACTCGAGCTGAAAGTATGRCTTTAATTTTCTGCTTTTCTGCACCAAGTTTGGGCAAAGACRCTTATTTTCTTCATGGACATTATTTGTGTTAAATAAAATTAATTCCTATAAGGGTGTCTTTTTAATTTAAGGCTATTTTTTACTGTGGAAAATATAGTCATACACAGTTCAAGAACACTGATCAGTTGTTTATACTTTGCATCCAAAAAGCAAAAAGATTTTTGTTCTCTTTACTTTGGCTTGACGTGTGTAATAATTCAAAAGAATAATCTGAGACTGTCTCTTCTTATCTCCAGTAGAAACCCCTCTCTCCACCGGCTCCTGTCTGATTGTGATGGAGTTCAGACTGGGCTGGCGGATGCTGACACCATCTTTGCGTTGTCRTCAGGCCATGGCAGGTGTGGGGTGGCCGTCGTACGTGTCAGTGGTCCTGCCTCAGCGACAGCCTTAAGGCGTATGGTAGGGTTCACACACCGCCTGCCTCCTCCACGAACTGCCCTGTTACGCAGCATCACAGACCCCTGCTCCAAAGAAGTACTGGACCGTGGACTTGTCCTGTGGTTTCCAGGTGAACTAAACACATTCAGATTCCATTATGTAGGTTAAACATGATTTATCACCTGTAGGTACATGTAATAAGAGTTCTGTGATAAACTGTTCTCCATTATGCTCAAAATATTTTCACATCTTATATCTACAATAACACTTTCATTTGAATCATTATTGTGTCATCCACTTCCAGTGTTACTGCAATAAATGACCCAACGTTTGCTTCTAGCACCAGAGCTGTAAAGTAACTACATACAAATACTTTGTTACTGTACTAAGGTAGAATTTTTGGGTATCTGTACTTTACTTGAGTAATTATATTTCAACCTACTTTTTACTTCTAC